TGTTTTGGGGGGCGCTGTTTCTCCCTTCTTTCGTATATATACATATTTAGATAATAACTTGGGGAAAAAATGAAATTTCACTGCAATTTCAAAAGTTTATCATTACAGTTATTGTAAAACAAGATCATTTAAAGCCTATTTATTTATTTATTAATAAAGTAACACTTCTTATAAATCCTTTACACATAGAATGGTGTTTACTTACTAAAGCCATGAATTTTGGATACAGCGCGAAGGTACTGATATCTGGATTTAATGTGTTTTCTCCTCTATATTAAGCATAGTAAACATGTTTTAATAAAACATACTGTTGATGATGACTTAAATTTTTAGCACAACTCAGTGCAAAGACAATTCAGGGGAGTACTTTGTGCCAGTTAATGTCTTTAACTGTAGTTTAAACCTTCCTGACCGAAGATTTGGGTGTCTATTGTTCATCTAGTGGTGAAGTTTGGAACTTGTCGGCTTGCAGGGAAGAAGCAAGGAGGCGGCGGTGCAGTTCAAAATGCTTTACATTAATTAAACAATAAAATAAGAGTGACTAGTATTAGAATATAAGCTGTTAGAAATAAAAACAACAATAAATCAGGCAGTAAAGCAAATAGAACTGTTGGACAACAAACTTTTAACTTAAAATTTAACTTTGTTATGACTTTGCAGAAACAAGAATAAAACTTTATTATTATATTTATTGAATAACTGAAGTTTCCCCACATTATCTCACTTAATGTCTCCTTCTACCAGCCTATAAGCATATTTGCTGTAAGCATATTTGCTCTGAATGTTGAGTATTTAATTGAAGCATGTTTTTATTCTACAAATTGAGGTGTAAACTTTTCCTTTTGGCTTTATCTCTAAATAATTGATCTATGACATAAGAGTAAGATTTTAAGATTGCATTGTCATCAACATCCTTGTTGTTACTTATGTATTTTGGTTTTGCAGAACATTGAAGACAAATATATGAAAAGAGGACATTAAATTAAAACAAACCTGCTGCAAATTAAACCTGAGGCTCTAGAGCTCAAAAATCAGTTTTGTTAGAACCAGAGCTTTTTACAGTGGTGGCCAATAGAGGGCTCTCTTATTAAATACTACAGTTACACTTCCATCAACTGTGAACAAAAGTTTTTGTTCCAGAAAACGAACAAGCTGCAGTTCAGAATACGTCCTTCACACAGGAAAAGCACCCAGTTTGACAGCAAAGAGCCTTTTTGAGGTTGAACCTCAGCATAATGTTCACTTCCTCTTTAACTCTTCCTGTTCAACATATGTTCCAGGAACTGAATGTTGTGAAGTTGTACAGCTATGTCGGCTTCCTAAACCCCGCCCACCTTAGACTAATGCTTCAGTGCTAGACCATATGTATAAACAATGAGCATTTATTTTTATAGGTTACCTCTAATCTTGCAGTCTCACCTCAACCAGCTGCATGAGGTTCTCAAAATAGGCCTCTTCATCAATAGTGAGCTTGCCGTTTTTGTAGATAATGCGGTAGTGCTCCACCTTCCCGTCACAGCTCACACACAGCGTGTAGTCACCAGGGAAGTTGGTGCTCTCTCTCACCAAGAACAGGCCTGTCTCAGGAGGGTGAAGCAGCCGCTCGGCCTGGTCTCGTGTTATCTTCCCATGAAACCACCTGGAAGAGTAAGAAAAGAGTTAGGACACTAAAATGAGCTGAAGAAAGCGCTTCACAGTGCAATATAAAAACAAAAAGAGTTTTGTTAAAAACAAAAAATCAGTTCATGAAAAACACACAGAGGCAATAGAAGCTAAAAATAAAACCATGTCTTCAATTTTGCTCTGTGAACCAAAACTAATGAGGGATAATTTAGGAAGTTATGGGAGAAGGTAAGAAGAAATATTAAATGGGGCATTTATGTACAAACATTGATGGATAAACTAACAATAAAATCTTAAAATCAGTTCTTAAAGGAATAGTAAACCCAAAACATGATTAGCCTTCATTTTCTACTCACCCCCATGCTGAACAACACTCTGGAGTACGTTTTTGATATCTCAAATGCATCTGGAGATCTGGGAGGCTTCTTGCTGTCTGCTGACATTCAAATAATGGAGGTCTATGGCGCCCGNGTTGCATAGTATACCTTTAATATTCTTCTTATATGCCCAGCACTTTGTTTCAGTAACGTATCTTTACCTATTTAAATGCTAATCCTTGATGCATCGACGGATACTTGCAACCTTCTCAAGCGCACTGCTCTAAACACTAGAGCAACACTCCCCAAATACTCTGTTCACTCAATGACACGCAGGACTACTGTAGCTTTAAATGCATTAAAAATGAATCAAATATGTAGAAAGTGCTTTTGTTAGTCAGAGAGCGAACATAGATCATCAGCAGGTGTTCTGTTGAAACACTTTACTGGGGGAAACTGCTGCCTTTGAGGTTGATATTTATGAAGCATCAGAGGATTCATCTGCTGGGTCTCATCTGATCTTTTTCTGCTTTCTGAAATTAAGCACAAAGGTTTATTTTTTATTTAAATCTCTGTTGGGGGAAAAGCATGCATTCCCTTCACAGTAAGTGTCTTATAAGAGCAAGAGCTCATACCATCCTGCTGCATGTGTATGGAGTCATGGTCTGAAGCATCTGTCCAAACATTTCCACTGTTTTTCAGAAGCTTTTATATCGAGAGAAAAAAGAAAGAATGTTCATTCCAGTTATCCTGAAATTAATTTCCTTTTATTTAGAAATAAAAATGAGATTTCTGTACCTTTTGCTCCAGAGCAGAAATCTTAGTTTGAGCTTCAGTTCTCTCCATCTCTCGTAACGTTTCCATAGTCCTCAGATTGTGCTCTCTAACAAACAATTGTGAATAAAAGTGACTTACTTTAGGAGCATTGCACCTAACAGATTTTATGACACAAGTCTTACTTCTCTCTCACTTCCAGCTCAGTTTCTGTAAGTTTTTCCTTCAGCCTCTGCAGCTCGCTGCTCTGCCTCCAGTCCTGCAAATCATATGATCATGTTCAGGGGCGGATTTACCATTAGGCAAAACTAGGCAGTTGCCTAGTTATCAATACAACTATTCCTTATTTGTGTACATTAATTATGTTTTTTTTGTAATTCAAGTATTTATTGAATTTTTCAATTTTTTAAAACATAAACAAAACAAAAAAAAAAACATTACAATAAAAATAAGAAAGAACAAAACTGAGGTTTAGTCAAAATCCTTGTTTTGCTGCCTTAAAGTCCAAATCAATTTGTAGACATATATGTGC